TCGGTTTTCGTCAAGTCACAATTACCTACCGTCATTTAAAAATGGAGCGGCGGCTTTGAGGAGTGATGAACTACAGTACACTTATCTAATAAATGAATTACATATACTTGTGCTGAAATCAATGAATTCGGTAACCAAAACAAACTTCATTTGGTATCCTTAGGAAGTTTGTACTCTCCTCAAACGCGCAGTACGATTGTGTGGACACATCAGTGAAAATTTGTGACACAGGATCTCATCACATGGCAAAGTGCTCTACCTATTCTGATACACACTAGAACTTCGATGTGTGATTTCGACTGTACTGTTGGTAATTACAGCATAAGATATTTATATTAAACAATCAGGTACTAGGTGTTTCGTTTGACTGCCACGCAAACACCATCGGGTTACGATAGGACCAAAGCCTCACGAGAAGTGAGATGTTTGATTTTAATTGGAGGGCTGACATGCGGAATCCCAGTTGAGGGGAAAACCACTGTAGAATCTTCAAGAAAGTACCTTTTCCTTGGAACGGTCTTGTGAAGAGTCAATATGATCTCATGTGGCACAGAGTTACTTTGCAACTAGGGACTTAGATTTCAGGTAGTAATTTGGTTCGAGGCAATGTCAAAAGTTTGCTACTGAACATTGCCACGAACCTTAGGCTTAGAAAAGCCCGGCATCACATTGTGAATAAAGTCCAGAATGCTTTATCGACTTGCATTAGCTTAAGAAACGAATTACAACAAGCCAGTCAGTGGTATTTATCTCAAGCAGTTTTTTACAGAGGTGTACACACTATCAGACTCGGAAGATCAGTGTACATTTAAGTAGATATATGAATGTCGTGGCCTCAGTAATACGCAATTAGCACAAATGCATTCTTACAGTGGCGTAGAATGTATGCACGAATCTTTGCAGGTAGCTGAAGTCACAGATCATACGAGACGTGTTCGGCGTTACACACTAGGTACCATAAACTGAATACGGTAACTGTTACCTGTTCTTCATTTCCTAAAAGGTGAACTAAATCGTTCCCACTCTGTTGTAGTCCTCAGAATACTCCGAAATTTCGGATATGGATACCATATTCATACGGTATACGGTCAGGGTTGAATTTCAGGAATCTAAAGATGCCAACGTTTGCTTTTTATTCACAGCTCCCTCATTGTAAGGAGTAGGGCCACATATAATGGGACTTTTGAGACCGGAAGTTAGTGACACTACAGTCCGACAGCTTGAAACGAAATCCAAGTAAAGACAGACCTTCATTGGGGACCGGTCAGATAAACAGTCTGGCTAGGCCTTAAGTCGAGCCCTCAAATTCTTACTACTCACAAGTAACAGAAAGTTGCCTTAAAATTGGCATGGCACGTCACGGTCGAGCCAGAGCTGTTTGCGGTTGGCATGCTCATCGTTATTCGTCCTATTACTATAGAGTAGGTAGAATTCCTCGGAAGCGACTCCAACTATCAGTCAACCTGACTGTGGTTACTTGAAGTTCTGATTGACAAGCAAGCAAAGAAACAAGCGAAACCGAAATGGCATAGTGAACGATGAGATTAAGGAACTGAATAGAAAAGTATCGGGAACCCCACTTACCTGTGGCACTGCATCCGCCAAAGGCATAAATGTTTCCATTGCACTCAGCCACACCGTGCCAACTGCGTCCAACAAGTAGTGGGGGACCCGTGAACCAGCGGTCATTTGCAGCTTCGTACACGTCGACTGTTTGCATGGATCCCGAGGATTTTCCACCAATCACAAACAAGTTGTTTTGGAACACTAGGGCTCCGAATCCTTTGCGTGGACATGGCATGTTCTTTAGAGAACGGATCGATAAAGTGTTCAATGATAGAGGGAGTGATGCGTCGTTCACACTGAGGTTAGGTTTGGTGTCAGAATTTCCACCAGCATTTATTTGGAAGCATATAATATCCCGCAGTAACTTCTTTTCCTGTGAGCGACCGCCAATCACTGCGATGACTGGAATTCTCTGAAGCGAATGTAAGAATTAAGAAAATAACCTTATTTTGAAGAGGTTACAAAACACACGAGCGAAGGACTAAATCGATGATAAGGCAGCCAAACTCTCAATCACTATCCAGCAGCAATACAAAAGTGCTCAAAAGAATTTGGTGGGTTTCAAACTCTCACAGTGCTACTTGAATAACAGTGCTGAGAGACGGATCAATCTACCGGAAGTTGCACTGCGTTGGCGTTCTAGCTAGTCGTAGGCATCCTCCAGGCGTAAACATGTTTACTTAAAATAATTCATGTGCTTCCTTGTCGCGCGAGTAGACTCCTGTATGTCAGATGCCATGCTGGATCCCCTCCCGGTCAAGATGAAATTCACTCCCAGTGTTCAGCTAAGTCGTTTCAGAATGGGGATATACAAAACTGATGTGATCCCGAGGCAACTAATTAGAAGAGAGTCATTCAGTTCACTTCAGTTTGTGGTAATGGCTTGCTTATGTATGTGCCTTCTTTCACCAAGGAACAAAACGAATGACTGACTGAAAGCGACGACTCGGTGGTTGTCGAACAGTTCCGTTGCACTGAAAAAGGAGAGATCGGGTCATCCAGAGATCGAGGCCCATAGCTTTGGTAAATGTGGGCTCCGAACAGCATGATTGGACTTTGTCTGTTGTCATCACTAGTCCCGAAGTCTTCAACCAGGAAGAAGGAAGTTGCCAACACAACTAAACTTTCTGTTATTGATGGCCATACTTCTCTGCCACATGGGTTATCACGAGAGACGCAACTGAATCTCTCGTTTGTGATATTCTCAACTTGTTTTAGTTATTCAGAATGGTTTGCATTCTTGAGGGACCCAGTCTTAGCAAGATAATATCGTCAACATACTCAGTGTATCTGGGTGGAGCTTTTGAGAGTGTTTCGGACTCCGAAGCATAGAGACGAGTAAGGAGGTTCCAGCTACAGTATCCATAAAAAATTCGAAAAAGAATGGTGGAAGATGACAACTCTAAACGATATCAGTGGACGTGGAGGGACGTCACCGTAACCCGTTACGCGTTGACGGGGAAAGAAATGTATATGTGTCAGACACTGTTGTAACACCTGCAGATCGATGGAATCAATGGCAGCGAAAAGATCAAGAAGGACTATCATTTTTGATTGTTAAGAACTATGGTTCTATACGCGCACAAAGTGAAAATACGGTTGACCCACCCCCTCCCAAGTTGAAGTTCCGTTTGGAGCATAGATCTGACTCTTCAGACTAGGAAGACAAAGAAGGGGGTTTACTCCATCTACATCCCTATATGTTTCCGGATAGTTTCGTCAGAGTAGACATCAGTTATTTTTTAATGATGATTTTGTCTTATAAATGAAGCTACTTTAAGCCGAAAAGTACATTACAGCTCTTTCATCCTTAACGGGAATCATCAACAGTGCTAGTCTTCAGAAGCCTTCGGAAGTTTCGAATCCGAGAAGAGCGGCTGATCGACACCATAATTAAATCAATCCCGGAAACCGCATTAGGTTGGTCACATGTCAACTAGCTCCTCGAGGGACGATGTTTGATTTTGGAAGATTCACTCGATGTGTGAATTATTTTCTCTGATTTATTATGGACCATTGCCAGTTTGACCATACTCTGATATATTCGTTGAGTGGAGCGGTTACTCATTTGAGGCCTGATGCCTTGTCACGATTAAGAGCCGGGCTTTCGCGCTGCATTCCTCTCTCCGATCAGAAACTGGTTCCCACATTTCGTGCGGGCTCCCTCAGTGACTCTTGAATTTGTGTTCAAGGTACTTAGCTTAAGCGTTCATCGAACTGTTCGGTCCGCGGTTCAGAAAGGTGGTCCTATGAGTAAACCACTGATAGGTAGGTGGTATTGCTCGTGAAAGATTTCTGCGCTTTGGTCGTCCGAATTAACTGAAAGAGTCTGCGATATTTGCCTGGGGTGAAAGTCTTCTCCTCATCCTGGGCTTCTGTTACCTATCGACACCTTCAGTCATACCTAATATTCTTTAGTAATCCGTGTCAGCTTGCTTCGCGTGCAGTCATATTCATAAGTTCCTGACATGTATTTTATGGCATCGATAAGAGCCTCTGATTGTTACAATGTTTAGGGTTGGTTCAAGTGATTCAGGGAGCCCAAAAGATGGTCTCCAGAGCTGCTAACATAGCGTCTCTAATACTAGAACGATTTTCTTGAAAACGATCATCACAGTTTTGCAGGGCCTTCCAAATAACTCTTTAGCTAGCTCAAGGATATCGTTGGGCACTCAGGACTTAATAGAGGCAATGAAGTGACTGACATCGAGTCAGTCTGGGTCATCCTAATGCCTGTACCCACATGTGCTACGAGCAGGATCAACAAACCCAGCCTGGAAGGATCGATCATCTTGTTTTGAAAATCACCACCGATAGTAGATTGCTTCACGGCAGATTCATGGCTTATTGACAGTTGGCAACCTACAAGTGACACGGTGTGAGCACTTGGGTTGAAAGATGACTACATAAGCCCTTCACCATTGTCTGTGCGCTGATAACTCACATTTCTACCCAAGATAACACCATCTGCGATGTCGCTGACTGAATCAACTCTGACAAATTCTTGTCGAGCTGTCTCTCTCAGGTTCTATGTAGTACTGTGTCAAATCATATGGCAACAGAAGACAGAAACATCCGCTACCTGGTTGAGTTACCTTGTTTGAGACAGTCAACCTAATGGCACACAAGGTGCCGTCTAATGAGATACACTTCATCAGAGCACTTTCAGTCCTGGAGCTGAGAGAAAATCTCAGGAGTTACTTCATTAAATCGTCAGATACCCAGAGCGTTAAGTGTGAAATAGCTGGACTCATCCTTAGCGCTTTGAAGAGAATGGCCCAGCCAGAGACCTGTTTGCGCATTTGGCAGTAGCAAGTAAGTAGTAAAGTCCGAGGAATGTGTTTTCGCTCAAGCTATTGTAGAACGCGTACGCTAAAGCTGAAAATGAAACGAACCTTTTGAAATAAACCAAGTGATATCACTATTTCTTCTACTGAGTGTAGATTGTGGCTTGGAACAACTGTCACTTGGCTGGCAAATTTGTCTGGATAGGCTTTTTGAAGGTCAAGGAAAGGCTGTAGCTGAGGTTATGTGAACGAAGCGCTAAAAGCGTAACTGATAATTCCTTGTTGTCCAGGTAAAAAAAAGAGCTTGTTCGAAGAACCCCACATTTAAACGCTCGGCTAAAAGAATCTTGGCCACAAAGGAGCAAAGAAATGAAAAAAATTATCTGACCTCCATCTCGGCCTTTGGCTCAACAGTCTGGCCTACAAGACAACAGGTGTTACGGCTTTTATGTGGGATCTCACTCAAAGCCCACGACGATATGGAGACTGACTTAAGTCGGGGACGCAGGAAGTGAGGTGAAATACCTCAAGGCTGGTGATGCGGCACGTAGCAGGCCCATCTGAAACTAAGTCCAGTGATTTTTTCAGCTAATCAGTTAATTAGTTGATCATAACCGGCTATTAGGTGGCCGAAGTTCGCGGAATTGAGGGAATTTTTACACCTTGTTCTCCTTCGAAGGGCTTGGCATTACTTCTGGTCAGCTGGTGGAATAACCGTACTACTTTCATATTGCTAGGCTATCTCCAAAACGCCCTGAAACACTATTTCTCACCACTTATTTCCTAAATTCTCAACTCAAGCTTTTCGGCATATCTGAAGCTTAAAAACGAAATTCCAGTGTAGTCTGCGAGTTGTTAAACGACTAAAGTCTGATTATGGTGATGTCAAGTTGGCAGATGTATTCAACATATCAGTGGCTTTTGCCATTCAGTTGCACACCACACATTACTTACAAATATTCAACCCAGTATTTCGAGCCAAAAATAATGACTATTCATATCATTTCAAAGGAAACCATAATTTTTATTTGAAAATGCTGTCCACATACTCCGGGAAGTGTGACCTTTTGTGTTTCTGGCAGACTCGACTGTTCTGAATCTTCAACAACACTTTGATTTTTGTCCCGAATATCCGAGATTGGATTCCTCTGCAATGAAAACAACAAGGAAACACAGAGCTTCAAAATTACACTTGGGTTCTACGACTTGAGCAAACGTGACGACGCATTCACCACCAAAGGTTTCAATACTGATTAAGTAGAGGTCGGTATCGTACCCATAGAAGCTTATACGTTTCTATGCCTGGGCAAAGAAGATACCTCTTGTCACCCTTTGGTGTGTTGGATAATATTCCTATTTTTCTCATCAGTTCCACCTTCAACGCTGTAAAACGGAGATATAGCAGCCACAGTATTTGAAAAAGAAACGGCTTTCTTGAAACATCTACAACACTGTTCCTGGTAACAACGATATTATGTACGATCCCTCCGGATAGGAAAAATCCCTTTGTGCTTGTATGTTACAATACGCTATACGACTGTCTCTGTTAACAAACCCCACGACAATAACAAAAATACTACTGATAATAGTGAAAATATTTATAGCCAAACCCATCCATCAAAAAATTTGAGTCGCTTTTCGGCGATGCCCGCCTGCACCCTATTTGGTGGGCCATTGGTGAATAACCAACAATCGAGTAGTTTTCAGCAACCTTATGAGTACTGTTTTCCTTCAAGGAGGTCAGCCTACTTCTCCCTGGAGCTTTTATCTATATAAGATTTCCTTGTAACATGATTGTACGCCACAAAAGTCTGCTTCATATCCACAAATCAAAAAGAGAATTATCCAATTTCATTTTTAAAAGTCTTTTCAGAATGCTGCGGATTGTACTTTTCATGATATTAATGTGAGTTCGACCTATCCATGTGTTCAGTGGTCCACTTTCCCGATGCCTGCCGCTGCCCTAATTAGCCAAGATTTAATCCTGTGATTGAAGGCAGCCTATACTGTCAACCCAAGATGTACCATATAGCTGTGACTTTTCGTGGTAAATCGTTGGTAGCGGTCATCTACAAAATCGCTTCCGTGATCCGAGCCTGTGATCTTCTGGTTAGTAATTGGACACTTGGCTATTCAGACACAAGATGCCACTCAACATTGCGATTACTAGCTGAAGTAAGTATTCCAAGAGATGTGTACATTTGTCGGCAGGGTAGAAACACAATTCCTGGCTATTTCAAAACAGGGAAGGCGGCGCAGTTACCATGGGTCGTACTTACTTTCCTATCCCACTTTGAATGAACACCGTCTTCGGCCAGTTTCCCGACTTCGATCAAAGCTTGTCGGATATGTTCTTGAAACAAACAGTTATCCGAATCCGTCAGCATATCTAGCAGACTGCTGACTTGGATTAGCTGATATCGTATGGTCTCACTTAACCTTTTAGCGTACTGTTCACGATTAGCCCAATCGTAATTACACCAGCGGCGCATTGCATTGAATAGTGCAAGTTCATTTGAAACATACAGTCCAGGATTTGCAAGAATTTCAATGAATTCCAAAGGTGGAATCTTCAGGAAACCTTCGGTTAAAATCAATTCCCTGCAAATGAAAGATGAATTCGATAAAGTAGGAGAAAAAAAGGAGCACAGAAAGTTTCAAGAAAATACTACTACTATTTGGACTAAGCATAAAACAATCTACGTTCCCCTCGAAAGTAATCGTTTTGAATGGGTTGATAGCTATACTTTTCGGGAAATGTTTCTGAAGGAGAACTGAAAGTAATCACAGAGTTGTGTTTTTTAACAAATTACACGAACGGTACAGGACTAAAGAAACTGTGTATCCGTTTGTGATTTCTTGCCATTAAATTTGAAAATGTATTCCCTGAAAAGGATAGTTCTACTTTTTGATAGTATACAGTATTCCCCCCAAAGTCAGGCTATAATGTCAAAAGCTTTTTCGTCTAATCCAGAATGGTATCTTAACTGCGGTTCGCCGACAAGATGCGAAATCAACGTACCAAACCTTTCACAAACGGATAAATATGACATTATTTCTCAATACGGATGCGGATGCATTGACATCTAGATTTTAGGGTTGAAGGTCCTCTGTTCTATGCATATCGAAAAATACGCAAGCGCCTGGTTACAATAAGTGTCATAGCTTTGCGTGTTTGCGGTATGACAACAACTAATTGGGCCTACTCATTTTTAAGTCGGCCACAAATAACCTACAAATGTTGTGGTCACACTCACCCGAAATTCTGTACGCAAAATTCTACCAGTTCATTCCTCATTATGATCCATTTGCGGTTCACAGCGAATGTCAGACAGTCGACACAATTTTCAACTGACATTCTGCCACTCAAGTAGTCCAAGCAACTTTCCGCTACGAAGTCCACCCCAAGAATTTCTGCTGCGCCGTAGAGTTCCAGAGCTGTTTCTGAATTGACAGTAAGCTCTGTGGGGAGGTATCCAAAGAGGGAATAGGAAGTAGAAAAGCTACATTAAGTTGCTTAGCTATCGTCACCTTTTACAATAAGCAGCATAAGATTGTTTAGTACAAAAGCCAGATAAGGATCTGCTGAGAGCAAGACTTAAAGAGACTGAGGTGTTTCAGCCCATGCATCAAGCTTTCGGCTAATCCGCCACGCATGAATTGTTTTAGCTTGTAAATGGTGGGAATAATAGCATTGGCGGAGATTTTTTCACATTTAATCTTCTGGTACATACATGCAATGTGTTAAAAGGACAATCACCGCTCTCTATGCATATATACGATGCCTAAACAGTTACTTCCACCCATGCAATACTTCGGTTCTAGGGGTATCAAAAGAAAGGCTCGGAAGTCGTCCATCTGGATACACTTTGTCTTCTGGCGGCCAGAGCCAGTCAGCAAACAAACAACCTCAATGAAACTGTCCTTTGAGTTGTTGCTGATGAGTTTGAAACACCTCAACTATTAGCGGAATGCACCCATTTGTAAACTAATTTGGTTTTGCGGGACACTGAACTGAATGTGCTGCATCAGGCCGCCTCATGATGAGCCCAAAGAAGGTCGAAACCGGTCGCGGGCTGTCGAAGAATTTTCAGCAACCTTATGAGTAATGCAGTACGTCCAGACCTTGACTATTGATCAACTGAATGATAAACGAACGTGCAAGAGTGGTGTCGAGAAAATAACTGCTAAAATGGCCCGAAAGAAACCCAAATACACCACGCCAGAATGTGGAACAATGATCAGTACTGTGATCTCCGTGAGTGAGAAATTCATAAATGAAGGAGATGACTTCAGCTCTGATAAATGGAAGTAAAGCGTGGCTGTGGACGCACTGAAATCAGAACACTAAGACCTCTGATAAAATACACCCATTGGCGAGCTGGGCTGTTGTCAACGCAAAACCCAATTGAATCCCAGCTGAATCTTGCGTCCATAACATCCTCCGCTTCAGCCTATCTTAGTGACCATAGTGCGTTACGAGTGGTTGGATTCCAATCTCACTACAAACTCTTGTGAATGGGGTTCATGGAACTTAGTTACGATTTGCAATTGCAATTCGATTCGCAGGATATAGTAGGCAAATGCCAAATGAAATACACGCCGACTGGTTGTACCGGGAGACTCAGCTGAATCCCAGCTGACTTGCTGGTCTATGGCAGCCTTCCGCATGGAAACCGCCACATTTTCCAGATTACACCGCACCATCTACACCTGACGGACTACTCATAAGGACGCTGAAGACCACTCATAAGCCCACGACTGGTTTTGACCATTTTGTGGCTCATCAAGTAGGTGCTGTCCCAGAGTTTCTGTCAAGCCTAAACTTTTAGTCCAAATAGAGCATAAAGTTGGCGGAAACTCGGGAACTACGCTTGCTGAAGTGTCGTCGGCAACTTTGTGAGTAGGTCCCTTCGAAAACGTGCCCATTTTCTTTCGTGTGAGAGCTCCAGTAAACGCGCGGGGCGGCGACAGCATCTACCTACGTTCCGTCGGTGTTTGCGGAATTGAAAACTCGTTCTACACATAGAGATTGCTGACGTAAAAGGACCACAGTTGATTGTATTCAAATGAAAACAGTTGGAATGGCATTTTTCTGTCGGCTTTAATCTTTTGTGTTGCTACACGTTCCACCGCCGCCTCACTTTATGATTCCTACCTCCGAGCAGATTGTTCCCAGAGTTTTATGTTCACCCGACTGAAATTGGTAGATACTGATCGGAATTCCGTTCACTGGATTGCTCACCCAAACTACGATGGCATAAACATCTGGATTAGAACAAATATGCAGTCCATGTAACCATTTTCTGCTACAAATACACGAGCGCGTTTAACCCCAACCGCCGTAATGCTCCTACCTTCACGAGACCCGAGCATTACAACCAGGTTCAACGGCGAACAACCAACCGTGAAAAACGTGGGACACCGGGGTAGATTGGTGGTGAACGCCGGGCAAGCCTGCTGGTGAACACACTACCGGTAGCAGGTGAATTACGACGGTAGTTTGACGTAAATCATTTGAGGGCGGTAGAGAGACAAGAGAAGCAATAACCTTGAAATACTTGCGCCAGTCTATAGTAGGCGACACAGCCAATAAAACACTGGAATAGGATCGATAACTCAACGTGCGAGTTCAGCGCACCTACATGGAATAAACATGAGCCGAGAAACCGGCTGCATTCGAATTCGAATGAGCTCCCAGAACAGCGTTAACTACCTGCTTTCGACCTATAGAAATAGTGGAATACATAGACAGGCTTGCGGTTGAATAACTGCACTGCCTTACTTATGTTGTACTTGACAGTTGGTGTGTGCTTAGTCGAAATATTTTGGACCTACGGTCAGTTTCACCTCCGTTCATATTGCTCTGGCAAGCTACTAGAAAGCTCTTAGTCACCAAGGCGCAGCCCTCCGATTCCGGTCATCACGTTGCCACACTCGACGCGTAGCACTTAAACTTATAATTCTCAGGTGTTGTGGTTGCGGTAGAATGCACAATCATACGACTCTTGTTTGAATGACGATCACTGTGCCTTAGTGCAATTATTCTGGTGAACCCACACCAAAGAAGCGGAAGTAGTGGACTTGAGTTTTGATTCCGTTAGAGCTTATCAGCAGTGCATATCCAATGGCAGTACCGGAGTTTGAACTCCGCACATCTGACGTGCGAGGTGAAGATGTTACCAATACCCCACGCATGTGAATTTTTCAACGTGTGAACAGGTGAAAATGTTTTTGCTTGATTGATGTGAGCGGAAAGCCGGACGTCTCGAACATACCTTGGTTGTGTCGATCGATTGACCCGCCAGTCGGGTTGCGTCACAGAAGAATGAAACGTCCTGGACACTGATTCAAACCCGCACAATATCAATGTCATCAGCATATCACAGGCTGGCCCCGGTGGGCAGAACTCAGAGTAAAGTGCAACAGTCTGCAGACCGCAGCTCAACTAGTCTCTGCCCATCAGATGTGGAGCACGGCATATTCGAAAGCCAATCTACCTATGCAAGTGAACTTACCTGGCAGCCTGTCAACCTGCACTGGATGGTTATTTTTATGCTAGTTCACATGTTTCAACCATGTGTATCAACATGCTTCGTCTGAATACTGGCTTCCCTTGGTGCTCTGGCCCCATTTATTAGCGGCAGCTGTTACCGAGGCACGCTTGCACCCATCTGGACCCATTAGGTCAAAACACCTAGGTAGCGTGTTCCGATCCGTCTATCAAGCTGAAATAACTGTGCTTACTACGAAACGTGCGAGAGCTTTGACAACCGATGTGACGGTTGCATAAATACAATAATATTCAATCCTTTCAAACGTCCGACGATGTGTCATTCCCTGAGCGGATCGATATTGGAGAAAGTTACGTACGAGAATTAATCTAAGGTATTGGTGTAATTTGTATGAGAATTTCCGGCCCTAATTTTAATCTGATTAAATGTGGATTTCAGGAGGGTGGGAATGTTCGAAAACCGTTTCACTTGCCCCCAGTGGATGGGATACGTCATACATTAGTTAAACAATCGAGGTCAGTAGGTCTTGTCGAATGACACCATAAAGTTTAAAATCGAACTGAGGCGACGTAACCACCCCGAGCTTTTCATGACGTGGAAGTTGACAGAACAACTGGCAGGAACAGGCACCCTGATGGTCGGAGGAAAGTTAGCCGCATCCAACCTATCCTAGAAAATAGACTCAAGAGCAAGTCAACCAAAGTGAGGCAAGTAAAAGAACCTTTACGACTGCTACTACATATCGCGTTCAAAGTATTAGCACACCGATTGTCAAAAGTGCACTTCCATGTCGCGAAAACGGTGACGTTACATTCCACTACAGTTTCAACTCAAACTCTCTTGCTCAAGCGGTTTGACGCTTGGCAACCGGCATTCCAGAACAGTGATGACGCTGATCACAAAGTGTTTCTTGCAAAACTTTTAAGCTATCACTTATTAGTAGTGTGCAGAAGTGAGTCACAAGTTCACAATACTAGTTGGTTTATTAGCAAACCTCAACAAAGCCTCAATTAATTGGTAATGTTTTAAAAGTTGAAGCACTTACAGTTGGATGACAAAACACCAACTTGTATAGCGAATAAGGCTTGGTATAAGTAAGCAAACTGCTTTACTGGAATACAGGATGACGACTAGCATAGGTGACCCTGCGTGATTATCCTCAATAAAATGAACCTTCACTTAAATCTTCTTAACAGTGAGATAACATCCAAAATAGTAACCGGATATACTTTGGGTTGAAGCGACACCCTTAAATGTCAAAGGACTGATCAGTGTTACTCATCTCTTTGGTGAAAACTTCAAGGTTTTCATCAACTTCATGAGTGGTGCCATTTGGAGGAAAATACTTGAATTTCGATCCAAACGAAACGTGCGACAGGTCTAGAGAAGCAGATTCAGCTGAAAAATACTGTGTACCACAAATGCAATTCACTCTTTAACACGAGGCTAATCAACAAACGAACATTCATCGCCAGATCAACACTGTACTCAACCGTACTCAAGTCAGAGCCGGTAAGGTGACATGGAACCGCTTGTCTAAGAAAAAAACTACTCACCTGAAGTATAGACGTATTGCACAAGAGCCTCAAATGCACTGTCAGATATGTTCGCCACATGAAATTCCGTGCATTCCGGATCTCGATTTACTGTTTCATCGATAGTCCGGGATAGAATGCGTGCGAGACATCTGTGCACTTTTTGTGATTGGGTTCCATTAGTAAGGAGGAAATCACATTCTTTGGTCTGCCTTCAAAAAAGACAAATTGTATGCTGCTAGAGAATCTACATAGATGATGGGAAATACTGATGATGATGATGATGATGATGATATGACGTGGAATGATGATGATGATGATGATGATGATGACGTGGAGTTTCGACACTGAAGGCACGTTAACGAGAAAAGATCAAAAGCGTTTGTACTGATAGATTTTGTGTACTGTACACTTTGTTGTAAATCCATGAGCAAGAATGTAGAAAATTGATCTCAACACAACACCAGCGAATCGCCATCACGCCAGTCATCACTAAACCGTTTTTGTTCTTGAAACAGATACCTAGATAATAAGAGCCAAGAGAAAAACGGGCGCAAACTATATTCACATCACGTTCACATTCATCAGTGATCTAACCTTCGTCATCCCAATCAAATATGCAATCAATTTCGCTAGGCAATATATAACGATAATTAGGAATGTGGGAACAAGTCGCAAAACTCGTGCACTATATTTTATATGTTCCGGTACTAATCATGTATCCGATTAAAAATACTGCGAAGAAACTTTGTGACTGTGAGAACTGCTCAGAATTCTTCTGAAATTCCTTCGGTTTCGCCCTACTTGGGGCGCATCCGGTAGGTGTGACCTTCGAGTTTCCGTAAACCTTATTTGTGTTTGAACACTAAATTTTATGCACTCAGCAAAATACACTCATTTGTAAACTAATTTGTTGATAGTGAGAGGCTCAACTAAGTACTTGCAGTAATTCTTGTTTGTGATATTCTTCGACCGAATGTAGGCATCGTCGTTGAAGTAGAACAAGTTGGCGGAAAACCGAAGGCTTGGCCTACCTGAAGAGCCAAGTGAATGGCAAAAGCGATCATGGACAGCCTTATAAGTAGCGCTCTCCAGCCGAAACACGAGGTGGCCTTTGTGTGGCAAGTTCGGATTAAGGATATCAGAGACGAGAGGTTCAGGTGGGATTCAGTTGACTCTTCCGTTAACGTTAATTTTCAAATGAGTGTAGACCCTTAATAAAAATACTTGTTTGTTGGATGGTTGGAAACTGCGAAACAAGTCTGTCATCTACGATGCACCATTTGTAATGTCCTCACCTCAAGGACAACCTGAAGATTCCTCCATGGAAACAGTTCAAACGTTACCGAGAACCTCAGAAGACCGACTACAGAAGCGGTTTCTTGGAGAAAAGCCGACTCACGGCATGATTTAGAAGGCTTACCTCGTCCTATATGTAAAAATTCCACTGATTCCTGTGGCTTACGCGAGATTCCCTTTTTGGTATTTCATGGTGGGATATACCTTAATGACAGAGTTATCCGTTCTAGATCGAATGTTTACGAAAGAAACCGCTACAAAAAAGAGAATGAAGGCGTTCAGCTGTAGCACCGTTGTGGTTCCTAGCTGCCAAGTCACCGGAAGGAAGCACGAATGCTGGGACACTGCCAGGTTTCCCAAGCCTAGATGGCGGAAGTCAAGAGGCAGAGGCCGGGTTCGAACCACGGACCTTTTGGTCAGTAAATTCGCGCTCTAACCACTGAGCCATATCTACATCTCACAGAAAGGAAATTACTACTGAATTCCATTTGATAATCTCTCAAACAAGGGCAAATATTTGGCCACTTCCCTCTCTTCTCCTCCATTGAACCGGAAAAATTATAGGAACATTGGAGGTCATTCTAGAAATTTTACCAGAAAATATTACTTACAAAATACACGTACATTTCTGTCGCACACTCCCTCGAAAAAACGGTATGTAGAACCGATTATACGGGTGAAATGGTCAACAAGCGTCATCAAGCAAGACATTTGAACGACCATTTGAATCACAGCTAACCTGGACAATACCTGTCGTCGTAAGAACCTAAAGGATCCTGCATCAATCGAGTCAAGTTCCCCTTCAAGGGACGAAATCGACTGGAGCCACGTGTTGACGTTTCGTTAAAGTCAAGCTGTCAGCCACATGTGACACAAATTGTATATGAATTCTAACGACAGTTAAACGGTAACGCTTAGCGTTTTGCCGTAAATTTATTCAAAGGTAAAGAGCAATTTCAAATGGAAAAACTTAAGAGTAACCAAATGACGCCCATAGGCTCGATGCGAGTAGATCATTTTGACTGAAATTCACGACATTTCCCCCCAATCCAGCAGGTAGCAGAAAGATATACATATTTTTGAAGTCTGTACTGAAGTACACGAGGAGGGTTAGTAGCCGGCGTAATACACTCATTCGCAAATTAAAGCGGTGTTAACGGAAAACTCAAACGAGTCTCTCGTTTATGACATTCTCCACCTGAGTAAGCTGAACAAAGACCACCTCATGTTTCACTTGGCAAGATATTCGAAATAGCTGGCTGGACATACTACTCGTAAGGTTGATGAAAGCCCTCTCAACAAACGACCGGTTTCGACTTCCATAGAGTTCAACAGGTACTATTCTCTGATAAAGTTCGGACACAAGTGATCGGGTGTAATCGACATCAGAGAGTAACGCAGTATGGTGCGGACAGACTGTCTCACTTAGCCTGGAGATGGAAACTAAAACGTTTATAAATCATCAGCATGACAAACATCTCTTCTACTGCATGTGTGTTTCACTTGTTTGACAACGTTCATTGCCAGTACTGATGTTAGTTTCACTCCCACTTTTTATCAACACATGTAAACAAATTTAAATGTATACTGAATGCAATCAATGCATCGCGTTTGCTTGCAGCATCATCAGCATGGATGAGATCAATAAAAAATCGGCTGCCTTTCTGATGTCCCATCAAATATTTCGGGTCAACCCATCACGTTGTTCTTTGGAACGTGAGTATTGATTGATAGCAATATTTCCTATTTGTAACTTTGCTTCCTTGCATCTAAAACGTTGCTGTAAAATGGAATATCCCCAACTGTTGAATCAGTCACGGGAAATCATAAATCTCTACAGAATGCGGTGAGAAATTCTGTGATCCTCGAATCTTTTGGCTGGGCCGAAGGCATGGTATTCGGACAACAGCAACGTGTGCTGGACATATGTTGTTTTCCTCCCATTTTCGGTCACCAGGTGCGTTGTTAAGCAGGTGTATCGAACATAGACTTCTTCTGGTGTCGATAATATAAAAACATTCCAAGTTGATGTCTGCTACAAAGTTGCAGTTTCATCAGTAGGCTATTTTTATCAGAAAAGCCCCTTGCAGCGGCATCTTACGATACTTCTGTCGGTGCTTAGATTTTGGTCTCAACCCATCAGTCTTTAACATGCAGGTTGGGACGTTTGTCTAGTAAATTGCTAAAGCGCTATTTTCAACCAAGCTCGGTGTGGTGGTGGAGATGTCTTTTTAAAAATCAAAGTAGCTATTTGCTTGAATCATCTCTTTCTTGTCATGGTTTTTATCGTTTTGAACTTTCCTACTATTTATTCTCTGTTCTGTGCAGGGTCAAAGCAGGTGAGAGTAAGTTCCTCTATGTAGAAACACCACGAATGAATGCAAGGATTGAGGTTACGAACCATGTCTAGGACTTGTAAAGTGTACAATATAAGTTATGAAACGACTGGATGAGATTCTTCTGCTTCCAAACATGGATTTTAATGCAACTACCACTTCAATAAGTTACACGCATCACATCGTGAAACCGCTATCGCAACATGCACGAGTGAGGCTATCCCAACTGTTGATGGGAAGTTTACAGCAGAAGCGTCAAAGCAATCCAATCACCAAGCATAAAGGAGCAAAATTGATGTGACATTTCTGGTTCATTATCTTGTTGTACAAGAGTACTAAATGGTACTGAATCCAGAAAATAAAAATATATAACAGAACGGATTCTTCTTTGATGAACATTCGCACCAGATTCATACTTGGACATTTCAAACTGAGCTGTTCTATTCACTAAAATCACTAAAAACATTCACTAAAATATATCCAGGAATGGAACCACCCAGTGTCTCTATGGAGGTAGTTTCAGAGAAATGTAGACAGCATATAATCGTCAGATCATCTACAAGACTGATGCATTTCCCACCGTTCTAGCATAAAGTATTTGAGCGAATGCAAAAGGAACATGAACTTTTTTACCTTGATATTGCGCTTTCAACTAAATCAACAGCCCTACGACATAAAGTTCCTATGCCAGCATGTTACGTTAGATTGATATTCGACATTCCGCAAACACCGTTGAGCGAATTTACTCTTCTCAGCTGGACAAAGAGTTGTAGGATTTGTTGGTAGAATAAAGCACACAACTGACAGGAAGAAAATAGCCACTGCCATCCCTAATCGTGTATTTAGCGATGCATTACAATTATGCCATACAATTATGCCATACTTCCGTTTCACGGAAGTATAGGATTCTGAAGTTGCTTACGAAATTGTTACGAATATGCTGGGCGATAGTTTATCACGGCAACAGGTTAAGGGAATAAGATAATCAATAAGGAGGAAAGAGAATAAGGAAGGGGAAATACACTCACCTGCAAATAAAACAAACTGAGAACCTTGTTTATGATATGGGTAATATGTAGTGTCAAGGAAGTTAATAAACAACGTTTGAAAACCGTAAATCGTAGCTCGTAACAGAATATGAGCCATAAAGGCGGTGTTCCTTATATCCATAACTGGTTCCAGTTCTACTGTGACAGCATGTAGGTTTGTAAACCAAATGTTTCGTCTACATCTTGAAGCGGTTACCATACTACTACTTCTCGCAGCACATAGTTTTGGCATCTTTTTAACCAGAAGCTTTTGCATAAAAAACAATATCACCCTTGGAAAATTCCTGGTACTTTTCCCGAGTACGCATAGCAATGCAAATCAACCTATTAGAGCAGCAGTGCTACCGCCAATTGCACTTCTTCATCAACACTGTGTGTTCGTGTTCTGTTTGTAATATACATCAACAGCTAGAGGCTTTTGGCGATAGCTATGACATAATATAAGCTAGGGAACGTTTTCGAAAATGTTTGGTGACAATCGGTGGATTTATTGCTGGGCAACGTTTCGCTTTTGACACAAAAGCTTCTTCAGGCCAAGTGACTAGGTTCCGAGGTTGATCGAGATTTAAGGCGGAAGGAGATCCAGTCAGCTAAGTCGAGCTAAATCTCTGTTGGGTGTCGGCCGAGGGATTTTAGTGTGTTAGAGTGGTTGAACAAGTGTTGGGTCGGTGGGGAAACCTACATGTGTTTGGGTCCTGCCTAGGGTCTAGTTCTTCTGGTTCGGTTCATTTGATGGTTCCTCTTGAACTTCGTTTGAACCTTCTGTTAGTCTGTGTGGGTGAGCTAGTGCTAAGAAAGTTGTGTAGGAGGGATGCTGTGACCTTTGGTCGGTTGGGGTTTCCACCCCTACCCCCCGGTTTTTTCTAATGATCCTAAGTGGATTGACAACCACACCGTCACGTGTCAACTCGGCTTATCTAAGACCGCTTTCCATACGCTCGCTAGCTCCACACCCTCGATTCTATTCACGCTGTGATGCTTAGTGATTTCCACCGCCTCGGCTATCAGCCGTTGTGGTGTGAATCGCAGTCCCCGTCTTAAGACTTCCACATTCTCCAGATCTATTCTATGTCCCGTGTCTAAGGCATGTACCGCCATCGCTGAGTCTTTGACCAGCGTTTGGTATTCTTCTGCATTCCTTGGTGGCTTGTTAATCCTTCTTTTATGCTCACCAATTCTGGTGTGCAATTCCCTGGCAGTTTGTCCTATATAAACCTTAGCACAATCGTTGCAGTTAATTTTGTACACACAATCCCTAGTCCTTTCAGCCGGCAGGGGATCTTTCAATTGCACCAAAACTGAGCGTAGCGTTTTCCCCTTCTGAAAAGCTACTCCAATGTTGGCTAAGTTCAACAATCTTCGAATAACCTCCGATGTTCCTGCTTTATATGGAATGACTGCTGTGCCAATCCATTCTTTACTGGGTCTAGATACTGGAACCAATATCTTCCTTAGTTGTCGCCTAATCAAACTCACTGGGTATCCTATTTCTTGAAGTTTGTTGGCAATCTCGATTTGAGCTGCCGTCCGGTCGATCTCTTCTGTGCACAGCGCTCTAACTCGACGAAACATCGATGAGACAATGCTGGCGTACACGGACTTTGGGTGTGCTGATGAATAGCTTAAGACGGTTCCCGTGTCTGTTGGTTTCTGGTAGACAGTCGTTTTCAATTTCCCACCAACCTTATGTGTTATACAGTCCAGAAAGGGTAATGTGCCCGATGTGGACTCTATCTCCATGCTAAACTTAATGTGTGGGTTTAAACTATTGAGATAGTCGTGGAAGCTGTTTACGTTGTCTCGTTTGATTACAACAAACGTGTCGTCAACATAACGCCAAAAAACTTTGGGTGGACAATGATATCCGGCCAAAGCTATTTGTTCGAAGTCCTCCATGTAAATATTGGCTAAAACTGGGGATATTGGAGATCCCATTGCAAGGCCTTGTTCTTGTGAGTAAACAGTTGTGTCAAAAACAAACTTATCAAGATTCAAACACACTCTTATGCCCTCAACTATTTCATCCACCGAGAGCTGTGTCCGTTCCCCGAGTGTTGTGTCTGTCAGTAACAACCTCTTAGTTACCTCCAGAGCATCTGCCCTAGGGGTGTTTGTGTACATTGATATTACGTCAAAACTCACGAGGACTTCGTCCATCTCCAAAGGACGCCCTGCGACCTTGTTGGTAAAGTCATACGAATTTCTAATGAAGGTGTTTAGATTTCCCCGTGAGCGGTTTTAGTATACTAGCTAAGAATCTGGCCAGTTCATGCGGCGGCGCGCCTATACCATCCACTATTGGCCTTATCGGTACATCTGCCTTGTGGATTTTTGGCAGTCCGTAGAGTCGCGGTTGAATCGCACTTTTTGGATACAACCGATACCACTTACATTGCCCCAAATGGTTTATTACGCATCTTAAATATCTCCCAACTTCAACCTTACTCTTATTCATTATTGAAGTTTGTCGGTAGGGTCCATCGGCGAGGTGTTGCCTGACCTTTTGAAGATAGTCGCTCTTATTCATCACGACTGTGGCTTTACCCTTATCGGCCTTGGTAATGACAATACTATTTACCTGTCTCAGTGTGTTCAGTGCTCTCCGCTCTGATGGTGCAATATTTGGAGCTCCCGGCTGTTGGGATTTCAGGACTGTGATCAGTTGTATCCGTAGCTTCTCAGCTTCCGCTGAAGGCTCTACACTAGGAATTATTTCCTCCGTTCTTATTACTTTTTTGCTCACAGCGAAGTTTAGTCCCTTTTCTAACAGACAGCGTTCGCCTTCACTCAGTGGTCTATCGGACAAGTTAACTACACTACAGTAATTGGGGAACTTTGTTGTCTATCCTTGCGTGGTTGCATAGAACCAGCTGTTTACTTTTCTCAGTCCAGTCAAAGTCCCTAGTGTGTAAACTTGGGAGGGTGAGAATGACATCTTGAGAGAGATAAATGCGATGAAATCATACTGTCACAAATGAAGATATTCTTTTTAGAAGCAGATGTGTACTTTGACCACCTGGAGCACTTTTTCATCTTCCAGTACTCAAATAAAAAGTAGTCCTTCCAATAATCGTACAGGCTGACAGTGGCATTTACACAAGTTAGACTCACTCGCGCACCACTTCTTTGTAAACATCATCTCATGAACCAAACGATCCAGTCTGTCCATGTTCCCACTGTTATCAGGATGAAGCGGAGTATTCCTGCAACACTATCGGTTGTGAATCTATAGCTCGCCTAGGAATGCGAATCAGAATGACCTAGTCAAAAAGTACACAAGACTAAATCTCATCACTAGTGTCCGTCTTGCCCGAAAGCCTCATGAGCTTTCACGGGCAGTCGCACAACAGTACAACGGGTTGCTACCAGAACCGGGACCAGATGTGCACTGTGTTGTCATGTCTTTTGGCTCAGGACCTGTGAAGATATTATCGCAGCGTACGAACAGTCCTGGGATCGCTATTTGACTCGCTTGGCTGCCGCTCGAATTTCTGTGTGAAGTTAAAACGTGGAAGCTATATTCATCTGTATATCATAAACGGATAAAACTGCCGTGTCATAAGGCCGAATGTGGTCATAGGGGGTGGATTTTGCACAAACCACTACCAGATCTAAATAGCAGGGTTTACGAATGTGGAATACTTTCGGAAATATGAAAACCAACCGGAAATAGAAGTTACGCGATTTCCCCTTGCAGGACGGGATGGTTTGGTAGACGCCCTTATTCAACTGTCTATTGTGGTAAAAACTGACAGCGTCAATATTCTGGTTTTAACTTGAGTTCCGATTTTATTTAGCTATCGCCTCACTTCCCGTCCACTCATGGCTCAAGGCTTTTCAGTCCATCCGGAGCGGGGTGTCAGTAAGCCCTGATTATTACACATACCGGCTATCTGATCAAGTCACAGATAGGAGAATAGGACTGGACGGGACAAGAATAAGATGAGTATAGGACCAAATCAACGCTAAGTCCAGAGAAGATAATACGACATAAGAGGAAGCGGCGAAAAAACGTGATAGCCTAGCTGGGTAGTGTGGATTATGTCGGTTAATTTGTGTAAAGTTGATGCTAAATAAAAAATTTAAGGCCCAAGTAGATGTACGAAATTTATCCGGCCTTTTGTAGAAACTGCCCTGTTGGAACAGTGATCCAGGGCATCCACCAAGGTTCACACAGAATAAAATGTGTCCCAACAAGAGAGATCCATCATGATTCACTGTCAGTGACAGTAGAGCAAAGTCTCCGAATCGGTGAACGGTCTTACGACACGTCTTCCACAGAAGAACTGAGTTGTGCCCGAAAAGGTTTTATAATAACCTCACAAAACAAACAGCCATTTCGGAAGATAAATGAAAAGTACAGTGCATGGTCACCTTGATGATGTTTTAACACCTGTATAAAAACAGACGTTGCTTGTTCCGACAAGATTAGTTTTTTTTCACTGATATCCCTCAGTGATGACATCACTTTCTTGTGATAAGAACTGCCTCGACAATGTATATGTTGCAGCGGAAATCACCATATAGAGATGATGCACTTTTCATTTGGCTGTGTGTCACTGTCATTGACTTACTCCTATCCTTAATGGTTTGTCTTATTGGTTATCTTAAATTCGGCTTACTTTGTGGCTATACTAAAGCACCAGTGGGAAAAAGAATGGCTCAGAAAAAGCTGGGTTCTTCACATCTTTCATTCATCTGGGCAACTTCAAATTTCGAACGTAGATATACCATTTGCCTACACAGTTCTCATGTGCTTTGAGCCCCTCTTCCCTAACAGTTATTCAAAATTCGCTTCGACAAACATGAGAAAATCTTCAGTTACGAAAGAGACATCGAAAAAATTGTGGAAACTCACAAACGCTGATCATTTAACTTTTTCAACAAAACAGTCGTTGCTTCAGAATTCACGTAGACTTTCTCTTCGCTCATTGTAACAGTTCAGCTCAGATATACTTTCCGAGAACGAAGTTGTCAAGTCGGGCGGCATACTACCGAGAGTTGTAATCGTGCCGAGCAGTTTGTATGACATAAATGAACAACGGCATACCGACTGCCTCGCTTAGCACGCTCATTTTGCATCGATTTATTCTTTTGTTCTTATCCTGTGCGTGTATGTGTGGGGTTGTGTGGGGGGGGGGGGGGTGGGGGCGTGCATTCTATCGAGACACACGCAAGATTTGGCTGACATAATTTAGTTGTTTATCGACCGATTAGGCAAGTGATTTTACATCAGTGACTGTGACGAGGTGTGCGACATAGGGTGAAAACTTATATTCTTTGGCTGAAAGAAGAAACAGAGCGATGAAAGACTCGTTTCCATTTGTGTGATTTTTGAGACCCGGCGCCAAATTATTTAAGGTGAATTGATCGCTGATCTACATAAAGACAATAAACACAGTTATTTCAACACGGATGGGCTGGAAGCGAGGCACCCGAAGCTGCGCACCGCTTCCATGCAGACATGACGAGGCTGATATCCCATTGAAGAAGTACGCAACTTAGAGCAGGGCCAAAAAGATCGTAACCAATGCAACCAATCAATTAGTTGGTCAGTCCCTAAAGACGGTAAGGTGGTATTTCATGAGAAGAACATTCCAGAGAATGCAGTTTTGTTTTTTGTCTTCGGAGATTCTCCAAAGAAGGCAAACTGTCAGAGGCGAAAACGAGATACTTTTTAGTTCCGAAGTTGCTCAATTATAGACCAACAGGAGACATCACCAACAGGAGACATCATCAAAAAGGCTCGAACCTGTGAGCACCCGGCTTGTAGTTAGTTAGAAGTTAGAAGCGCTCGGCATGGTCATGGCGGCCAGACTATCTTATGTCGTGGAAACTGTTGCCAACCGGAGGGTTTGGTGCATATCCTGCAGTTCTGCTGGATCACCCATGAGGCCAGATGTGCTCGTCATAATTGGGTTGCAAGGGAACTCTCAAAATGTCTCCGTCGACTGGGATACGCCGTCTTCGAGGAGTTGGGAGCACCTACTTCGGCGTCCTTCATGAAGCCTGACTTAATCGCTCTTCGGGAGCACCGAGCAACTGGGATAGACGTAAGCATAGTCTCGGATGGGCGCGGATTGACTGCGTGGAATGAGAAGAAACAGAATTATGGTGCTGATGAATATCCCCTCGCCATAATCTCAGCCTTACATGCCATCGGTTGTGATATCGACTTTTTGGTTCACCAACCGATGATCATCTCTTATCGAGGGATCTGCTGTCCTCAATCCACCAAGGCTGTTATTGGACAGGGACTTCCTAAGGTCACAGTCGGTGACTTGTGTTTGCTTGCCATTGTGGGCTTTCTGCGTACTTGCGACACTTTTATGCGTGGTACATGGCTCTGGGTGTAGATTTTTTGCCATTTAATCTCACACCAGATCCAGTATGGCGGACAATTTGTGCCTGATGTGTGAGTCTTAATTGTGCTAGCGCTGACCGCGCCTTGAAGAGCATTCACCATTGTTTGTCTTTTCTTCGGTTGTTGGTCTTTAGAGGCGTGTTCCCATACCAAAATTATTACATTTCATCTCATCTGACTGGAACCGTTGGTGGCATGAATTCGAATGAGATGTTCCTCTCTTTTACTTCATATACTCCTGTTACCCTTTCGCATTCGTCACTTGCATTCTCTCTTAATGTTTGTGACCATGTTCTTCAAAAATAGATGACAAAATTGTTGAATATGGTGCCCTCTAACACCTCCATGCCATACCAATTGCCGGTGATTCCCAATAAGAATGAAACCAGCTTTAGAGCATAGGACGAAATGCCCACTGAACTAAGTTTGCTGGTCAACTGTCACGTTCATCACGAGGACCAATGCTGTGCCATCTTCTTGACTGAAATCAAGTTAGATAGGCTGGTACTGCAGAGGATGCTTGATGTGCAAGCTTTAGCGGTAGAAGATGTCATGGTTGTAATAAGGATTGGCATTGTAGCTCATGTGATTTTTATTCTAATTCAGCTAGATGCCACAAATCCACGTGTTCGTAAGCACTCACACAACAAGCTTCTACTTGCAAGCTTCTACTTTTTATGTGCAGATTTCCGTGAAAGGTACATGACAATGTAAAATATGTTCGCGCGAAAAAAGCAAGAAACGCCATAGTACATCCAAGACTGCTACCCAAAACAGTCGAATGTACATTCATTTAAGACCGTACAGAAAGTAACTGATCATCCTTCAAAGAAGGAACGCTGCCGTTAAAGAAGCATTTTGGTTTTATTCGAAGGTGTTACCTTGACAGCGAAAGATTTTACGAAGCTTGCAGTTTTTCCTGACTCTTTTGGTTTATGCTACACGCGGTAAACGAAGCAGATCAAATTGACCAATTACGTAGCATCTAGTACTGAGAAGTTCCCAATTGATAGATCTTGACTGAGATGCCAAAGTGTTGAAACCGGTTATTCGCGTAATATACTGCCACAAAATCCATCCTCAAGAAGACAACAAAAGCCTCAAAGATAAAAAAGGGACTCATGCGCTCCCAGAGTGCACAATAATGTGGCAACTATTTTACGTGGTATTTAGGCTTGTTGAATAAGTTATACACTGGTTAAATGAGGGGATGAAATTAGAGACCTGACCAATTCATCCCCAAATATAAACTATAACCTTTGAAGGTCAGTGTTTGTTGGGGATTTTAAGGGTTACATTTATCTGCTAAGCTCTAAACACGGAAAACCAGGTGGTGTACTCTGTAGATTTTCTCCATTTAACGCTTGTTTCCAAATGAAATTCCTAGTAATCGGATGGCAGTTTGAAATCGGTTTCAAATGTAAACTAGGCAAACAAGCACCAGTAGAACTGCAACAGAGGAATCCTATCTATGTGAGCCGCATCAAGCACATGGGGGACACACTTTCGGTAGTTCTTCTGTTGAAGGTAGCCAATGCGAATCATTTTCTATACCTAAGTCGCATTCTGACGTGAAGGTACCTCGTCCAGATAAAGGTTCTGGAATACTACTGTTCAAAACAAATGGCTATACGAATAAATTGTCCCGAAGATTTTTAGATGAGATAAAATTTACCAGAACCAATGACAGGGGTTGTATGAAGTGAATCGGAGCCCAGCTGATTGGATGTCTGAAACTAGTGAAAGGTAATGTTTTTCGAAGAAAACCTCTAACAAAAATATCAGAAACCTAGTAACTTGGGTACTCCTTATACAAAGCGACTGCCTAAAATACATTTAAAACTTGAAACGGGCGTTCATGGTAACCCAGTTAAGGGTACATTTCCTCACCGGTCCACTGCTCAGCAGCACACTCAAAGAGCGGTTTCTGGTATGCGATTGATCAACAGTAATTCAGTCATTTGTTTTATTGTGTTCAGAAAACTCTAAGTCACACAACTCGGTGCCTATCCAGAGTGATTTATCAGATGTCACCAAATTGTGCACCAAAGAGCACTGAAAACAATGCCAGGAGAACAAGCCAATTAGCTGTTTGTGTTCGACACCCTTATAACCCTAGTCCATATTTTATTGCTGTATTTTCCAGATGAGGCACTATTAAGAGCGTCCTTTTGCAAGTCTTTGTATCAATGAGAAGTCAACCTCTCTGGGAAGGCAGTATACAAGTTTGTTGGATCTGGATAGAGATTAGCATAATTTTATGTGGTGAAAGCATGTTGGTGGTATGATGGGCATATGAAACTGCTGTCGAACCACTGAGAACAGGCTGCTTTGTGTGTTACCTGGTTGGGGTGAACTAAGAACCAAAAATGAGTGTGATTTATCGTATTGATGTAGTTTAATAAATGAACCAAGAAAGTGTTAATATAGTAACCCTACCTCCAAGAGGAATACATATGAAGCCTCACAGATGACATTCCGCGTTACCAGGGTCTCAATATTACTGTATGGAGGTAAATCGATAAAGTTTTCTTTCATGGTACTGTTGTATCTCTTCACCTGCCCTGACGCTACTGTTGTTATAGTCAGAAAACAAGAAGACGACCTGAAGGAACTGTGTATTAACGCAATTACAAACTTCTATATATATGACTTACTTGTCACCGCATTTGATGGTCGATGCGCTGTCAACCAACCAGTGTGTCTCCCACACACCCACACTGGTTCTCGGTTGATCATGGCCGTCTGTGCGCTTGTGTACGGGGTGCCTTGGCCATGGAGTGGGTGTGAACTTCCTGTGTCCCTATTTGACCTTTCTCCGGCACGATGAAATCGGACGTGATTCAGACGTGGGGACATAATCGCACGTTTCACACGTTTCACATGACTGTTCCGCTGCGCAGTAGGTTGATGCGCAGCCGTATTAGGTACTCTCAAGCTTCTGTAACGCAGCTCACTATGACAGATAAAGTAGGCCTAACTGTTTGTAAAGCATAATCCAGAGAAATCCACAGTCATCAGGAGTTGGAAAAATGACAGTGCGGACGAAATCAGCCCTTTTATTATTGAGTTCAACTGGAAAATATAATTGTCTGAAGTACTCGCCACTTTATCCTGCTTATTTTTCAAAGAATGACAAAGCGTGGGGTTTCCTTCTTTTGGAAGCTGTATACAATAAAAAAACTAGCCACCGGTTGGTCAAGAGCCACAAATTTCGGAACAAGTCTGAAACCTGCTGACTGGTCAGCTGACTGGGACTGATATCGGTGAAAGGAAGAAGGCCTTCGCTGCGGAGTTAGAGTTATTAGAAAAGGCCAACTGAAGGGTTACAGACTATTGGACAGGGAAGCGAAACTTGCACATGCATCTTGCTTACAAAAACTAAATATCCATCTTCTCCTTGAACGCGTCTTCCTAAACTTCCCTGGATATTCATTGACTGTTGTTCAAATGCAAGCAAATGCTAAAAAGCGACTCCACAAATTCCGTTATAGATTTCACTTTTCAAGGGACGCAAAGCGGAGTTACGAGAAAACATACTACTCGCATGCTCTTCCACCAGTAGTATCACCGGTACATCGGTAGTTTGAAAATGCATACCGACGGGTTGCGTGAACGGACCCTTTCACCTGAATAGTCTAAATGACAATA